TCTATCTGTGCTGATTTTACTCAGATTTGTATAAATAACGACATAAAAACAGTATCTGGCATGCCTGTGCATTCATCTTTAACGATATTCACCATGACACATAGGTACTAACTGTGATCGTTCGGGTTGAACTTTCGTACTGAGTGGTTCGCTGCCAAGCCGCCATGCGCCCCAAATTCGGGCTTAATTTCGAGAAAATTGAGAAAGCCGACCAATCAAAAGTAGGGGATGATCAAAATAAAAGATGCTAATAATGAGCTTCAAACCAACAAGTTTGCCGTCATGCTTAGCATGTTGTATAACTTTATTTTTCGTTCAAGTGCATGTGCATCACTCGTGCCTTGTAATAGCGAGCAGTATTTATAGAGGATGACCAATGTAAGACACACAGAGCATAGATATTCGGCGTTGAAGAAATAGGCCTGTTTAGGCCCGTCGCCAATTCTTGTACTTCTCGTGACTTGTTCACAGAACAAAAAAATTGGCCTTCTACCAAGAATTTTTTGACTGACGTTGGTTTGCATCATCACTGGACTTTTACTAGTTCCGTAGGGTGCTAGGCGTTTCAGAACATATAATTTTGCATAGAATGGTCTTGTTTATTCTTGAACGCGTTCATAGTCAGAGCGTCAACAATATCATCAGGGAGGCTGTTCCACATGTCAGTGACTCGAAGCAAGAAGAAATGTTGTCACGTGGATGAATTGCACTGCCGTTTTTGTAGCTTATAACTGTGGCCATTGGTGTTGGTTCTTGTTTCAAACTAATAATCAATCTGGATTATTTAAAAACGATGAAATATTGTGTCGATATGTGCACGTAGACATTGCACCCACGCAGACGTCGATAACAGAGGCTTGGAAGCTTCAGATTCTTTACACTCATACATGATATAACATACCTGAACTACTTTTATTAATTGTGAATTTTCTCTCAGATCGACTGCGGATTAGTATTTCGTCATTGGGCTTTTGAACTAAGAATGCATGGAATGCATGTCTTGGAAAATAGGTTTATTATCCCTTCACGTTAAAATAAATTAACATATTAGTACACATTATTCTATTTTTCGGTTTTCTCTTTAAAATAGCACAGAAAAAATTAAAACGATATCTATAATAATGAATCTTCAAGGATCAATTATATTTGTTCACTGTTCATTAGTTAATTATAACTCATTTTACATTTTGTCGTCTCAGCGAACAATCCTTGCAAAAAAAGGTACCGCAGCACAAGTTGAGCGTGCGCATCCCATATCATCCTACAGCATCCTATAGCAACACACAGTATCTGTGGTTTAAGGTCATAAGGATGTAAATAAAAAGAGGCTGGCAACAATGACGTTAAGCGCTCGTTTGTCACCATTGCCGTCAGGGACACAACTCATACGAGTGCTACCCGTATACGTGCACGTAGACATGCTACCCGTATATGTGCACGTAGACATGCTACCCGTATATGTGCACGTAGACATGCTACCCGTATATGTGCACGTAGACATGCTGCCCGTATATGTGCACGTAGACATGGCATGGCAAACATCTGGTGACATAACTAAGTTTACAGCAGAAGAAGAGTAATGAAATTATTATACGTATTAGTTTGTCGAGGTAAGCTTGTGATGTTCTGAAAACTGTTCACGAACGTTTGTGCGCGGTAATATTCAATGGTGATCTGAACGATGACAAATTGACATTTTCTAAGCGGCTGTATAGTTTCGAGCATGCTTGCATTAAGTAGCACATTTATTATGGAGATAACGTAGTCTAAGAATAATAAATCACTATTTGCATTTCTGGTATAGAGAAGTATTCACTTGCATGGCCACTGCAAACATTTTCGTCTGCATATAATCTTGCTACGATTTGCTTTTCGAGACATGCCTGATTTGAACTAAAAACTTCATCAGTGCCTACCCACACGTGTAATGATATTGATAAACGTTCCCTATTCTATTTGCACGCAAGAGGTTCAAATGTAGGCCGTTCACTCACGCCGCCCAGGCTCTGTTTCAGGCGACCTTGGCCCAGAGCTCTGATACCTGCCGACGCTCGTCGTTGTCATGGAACGCAAGAGACTGACGCTTTCCTTCACTCATGTCATACTATAAGGCCTTCAATGAGCGGGTAGACTATTTAAGTTATTATAAATAAAACGCTCGTCGTTGTCATGGAACGCAAGAGACTGACGCTTTCCTTCACTCATGTCATACTAAGGCCTTCAGTAAGCAAGCAGACTATTTAAGTTATTATAAATATAACGCTCGTCGCTGTCATGGAATGCAAGAGAGTAAGAGACTGACGCTTTCCTTCACTCATGTCATACCAAGGCCTTCAGTGAGCAAGCAGACTATTTAAGTTATTATAAACAGTATCCAGTGCAGTCATGTCTCGTTAGAAAGTATCCCAGTAAATAATATATAGCGAAATTGTTCCATGAAGAGCAGAATCTTCTTAAATAATATATCTTTTATTATAATATGCTCAAATAGGATTTCTTTCAGTGTTTTTTTTCAACAAAATATCCAGTTGGGTTGTACATAATTCATTAGATCTCGGTAAATACCTTCTCTATAAGCATTATTTTGTTAATTATAATCACAATAAAAAGTCCTCTTATTCATTAGAATATCTATATATCAAATTTGTGCATCTGTACTATTTTTATAAAACACCGCATCATTTATTCAACATCTTTTATTCCCTGACACCAGTTTCAATTGCAATATATTTATAATTGAATACTTGAACTATCTTGGTGCAACTATCAAATAATGGCAGTCAGTCGAGCACTCGACGATTTCACGGTCACGCTTAATTTCCATGTGAAATAGTGGAGTCATCAGACGCAGTGCTAAATACCATAAAATTCCTCTATAGATCAATATCAGTTATCTGGTAAAAGGACTCGTGTTGTTGATTTTATTCAATCCACTATCGCTGATGAACGGCTTAGATTGTCAGATTTAGTTAATTTTACTCTCCATTCCGGAAATAAATGTAGTGAAAACTGTACCTCATGTTTTACAAAATTATACTGAATCTTGGTTACATGAAGACTATTGAAAAAATAATATGTATGAACTGTACTTGAGGGTACACTCTTTCATTACGCTTATCTATTGGTTTTTATCTGCATCTATAGTTAATCATAAGATTCACTGCAGAAACTACAGCTTGTACACAGTACTCGCTACTTTCTTAGCTCTCGTATAGCGTAAGGTCTGTACAAATTTAGTTCCTCCTGCCTTCATCGTTGTCGGTTAACTGTAGCGCGAGGCTAGTATCCTGAACTAAGTCCTGTGTAAATAAGCCTCCTTTCCAATCATATGAATAAATGACTGACGATTAGTCATATACTGAGCGCTAAATTTTCTATTTACTATATAAATCTACGCATCTGTAAACTTTTTAGTGCCAAACGCTATTTTTAGCTATGAAATTGTGAGTCTATTAAGCCATAAATAATTTATGCAGCTCCTCTGTCCTTAAATCGTCAACTTGCGCACTTCTTTCACTAGCACAGAACGGAGCCTTGGCCAGTTCCGTGATGGCTGATCAAAAAACTGGGCACGCAGTCTAGAGGAAGCGGAGCTGTGAGGAGAGTCTGGGTAAAGTAAACACAAGAGGGAGAGCTTCTGGCGAGTCCTCAAACATGGCGCAAGGGGACAGTGAAACATACCTTATTTAAATGATAGTGGAGTCCCATGATATTTTAAGTACAAGCTTTACTTATCAGAAGAGAATTATCTTACCTAACAATTTTGATGGCCCAAAGGAGAAAGAAAGTATTCAGTTTACTCTACATTTTGAATCAATTTTCGCAATGTAAACGTTATATGAGCCAAATGCTTCGATATAAGTGATCAAAGCAGATTAGGTTGCGTCATAATTGGTGAGATTGTAGCCTCTTTACAAATTCAAGCGTTTAAATATAACTACAAGCCACCTCTCTTTTGTACCTTTATTACTATAGCTCCACTTCGACGCTTCAAAGGCACTTCATATCACGGAAATATGAGCCGCAAAAATTTGAAAACATACAAGAATATTATCAAGAAGTTACTACTGCAACTATTAACAAAAATCTTGCTACGAAATATAGTTTTTCAGTTTAGAGTCGCCACCTAAATGTTGCGCACAAGACGGCACAGCATAAGCCCGAGCTGCGGCCCTGCAGAGCGGCAGTTCCTCAGTTCCGGACTCGCGGAACATCGCTTGGCCAATCCCGGAAGCATGTCTTGCGCAACGCCACTATGCCCACAAGCAGGGGCAGAGAAAGCGATTATCCTTCATGTCAGTGAGTGCTAGCTTCGTCGTTGATGTGAACGTTGAAAAATAGGGCTTTATTTGCAGCAATATGTCTAGGTTTGATCAAATTTCATATTGAATATCAAGCCCCGTCTGTTATTGCTGCTCTTAGCATAGAAAGGTATTTCACCGCCAGTCGGAATGAGGTAGGAAGGCGTATAGGTTAATAATATTAAGCTTAAGCACCCAAAACATGTTTTGCCATTTATTTTAAATGGTTTTTGAAATTTTTAGGTCACAAGTTATATGGTTTATCATATCATGAATACCGTTTCCTCTGAATAACTCGTCTATATATTTTTTGTATTTTTACATTTTTCGTATACAATGTAGTGTGCATTTTTCCATATGCATTTGAAGTGCGCACGGTAACATGCAGAGCTGGGCAGCGCTACTTCGAAATATAGCGGCCGCTACCGCTACCGCTACATGCTCTAAATGTAGCGGGCGCTACCGCTACCATGCACTACATTGCTTAATAAATTGTAGCGCCGCTACCGCTACCGCTACATGCTCTAAATGTAGCGGGCGCTACCGCTACCATGCACTACATTGCTTAATAAATTGTAGCGCCGCTACCGCTACCGCTACTGAAAATGTAGTGGCCGCTACATGTAGCGCGTTAGTGCCCACCTCTGGTAACATGTGAATTGATTCAGCATTGCGTAAGAATTACATTGCAGCACTCACCTCTCTTTTGTCTCAGGGATTGTGTCCTGAGTAACAGCTCCCCCGAAGGTATTACGTCTGTTGAGGCGGTACATCTTCAGCGCTGAGGGTAGAACCATGATGAGACGGGAAAACTTATAACCGCATGAGAATATTGTTATTTAATTTTTAAATTTATATACAGGCACTGGAAGGTGGGGTGCACGTAAAGGAAGCCACCGTGGTCACGATAATATAATAATAATAAGTTATATAATAATAAGTATTGTTCGTAAAACACTACACCGCTAAATGTGCGCTCACTCTGAAGCCAACGTACTATATATAACACTATTCGACATAGGCGGTTATTTCTCCGCTGCTAATTCGTATTGATATTTTTATGTTATGTTAATTGTTAACAAGATGACTCTTCGTTTCTTCGAATTTTTGCACAGCCCAAATATATAAGAATCTAAAGGTTTTCAATTTAATTTATACAATCACAATTACTTCACCTTACGCTTACTGCACGAATCTCTTGTCTACGAATTATTAGACTGTGAATCCTTTACTTGAAACCGACACTTAAGTAATTTTGACGTACACTTTCTCTAAGAAAATTATCACTGGAAGGTATAAGTCACTGCACACCACGTCACACTGTACGTCACTGTACACTGTCACTGTACACTGTACACTGTCACTGTACACTGTCACTGTACACTTTCACTGTACACTGTCACTGTACACTGTCACTGTACAACTCACTAACATAAACGTATGTGTTCACGGGTGCTGCGGTCTTGAACATTAATGTGATTTTTTTCAGTGAAATAAAAGTTCAATATATTGGAAACTTGTGGCCGAGCAAAGAGACTAAACTTTATGCATTCTTTTCAATGCTCAGTAACAGCTTTTCATTCAGTTGAGCATTTTAGTAAGTAATGCAAATCACGATTCTTGAAAGGTTCTCGTACTTTACTATTGGCTTTGCTTTTTTTGCCTCAACAGAAGCTGGAGCCTTCAACAACCTCCTGCCAAAGGTCTTCCAAGTGCCGTTAATAATTTTACACACTTAATAACAATGAAAGAAATCTTCAGCTAAGCTTAAGAAATTATCTTGAAACTAGTATTTTGAGGCTGTGGCAGTTTTCATTTTTGTGCTTATTTATATAGTTATTTATTTTTTGTACTCTCTGCATAAATATGATAGCTATTTAACTGTATATTATTTAATATTCGTTTCTATTAAATATATAAATATATATTACAAACACGTTAACAAGAATACGGCTGTTCGCAGTAGCGCAAGTTTTCGAATATCTTAGATTTTTTTTTACTTTTCATCTGGAACATAAACAAGGTTGATCAGATTAATTCAAGAATTAACACCTCTCCCTATAGCTTTAGCAATGTCTGTAATATAGGCCTGCTGAATACATGATATGTATTTGCTTCTTTCCAGTTTCTTAACATGTTTATTCAGTCACTATAGCTCCGCCATTGTTTCGCACTAAAATATATTAAACATCTCTCCTAATTTCAACACCTCACAAACTTTTACAGGATTGAAAATGACAAAGGAAAAATAAATGTTTAGTGATTATATTAAATGCCTCATTGACGAGTGGTAAAAAATTAATAATTTACTTTGCCATCGTAATAAACTGTTTACATAAATATTGCATACATATATAGTATAGTTTTGATCTTTAATTTTAGCATATATATGTCATGTTCAATGGTAGATATATAAACTAAAAAAAATTCATTGTATTTTCTCATCATAGGTGTAGCACAAAGAACGAGGCAAAGGACATACGATACATATTAAAAAACGATTTCTGTAAATAAATTTAAAACTTCCAGAAAATGTATGAAATTTATACTAAAACATCATAATTACGCTTTTTATGAAGTTCATTTCACTGACATACTGGCATACATGACATACTTGACGAATGTCTAAACCCTGTTGAACATCATATACCCCTTCGGTGCCGGCCACTCATGAGTGCAGTGATGGCTTGATTGCAGGCCATCGTTCAACAAGTTCATCAAATATCCAGAAATTGAATTCATTTTTTATAATGGCTTTTGTACTCAAAAACTTTCACGCTTTACAGATTTCATGCCTTGTTGAAATGACTTCACAATGTTACCGCTACGATGATTGACGTTGAAAATCCCTACGAATAAGTAGAATGTGATTGCTGCGTAATTCCTTAAAATTCATTCAAAATTATATCACGCAGCTGCCAAGGAAACTTGGTTCTTCTTGATGCTGCGAGATGCTAACACGTTTTGCTGTCAAGTTATTGGCACCACTGAGACGAATCAGAGCAACCAGGATTAAATTATCGTTCATATTATTGCTAGCTATTCTCATATTACAAATTATATTTAAATATTATTTATGATATTTCGATATGAAAGCTTTATGCTAAAACATTCCTTTTAAGTTTGCTGTCATGAAGTCAGCTATTTATCAGATACTATGCAGAATTTCACACCAATAAAGATCAACTTTCCAATACACTTAAGATGTTTATGCAAAATAAAAGCTTTCGACATTTAGTATTTTAGAATTTTCTTCTCTAGGTTGCGAGATGCCCGCATCTACCCTCACAACACAACTAGGAGAAGAGGCAGGTAAACTGGGTACACGTGACCAAGTCATACCGCGGGAGCGTTGCTACAACACACCTTCCCTGCCGCCGTCTCACGCGGCACTGAACACTGGCAGTGTGGCACCAACACTACAGACTCTGGCACCTACACTGCAGACTCTCAATTGACTCGGAGCGTCAATTGCCATTCATGAAGCACCAGCAAGTGATGCTGGTGCTGAAGTAACTCCTGGAAGTTGTGTCTGGATCATGTCTCGAGCGTCTTCCTGACTGCAGCGTTAGTAGTCGAGACACATTTGGGGTTGAATGCGTTTGCGAAGCTTGAATTACGTAATGAGCTGCATGTACACCTCCCCAAAATTTTTTCAGTGACTCACCATGTCACATTGAAAGACCTGCTTCAAAAAAACTAATTTGTATACACTTTAATCATTTTCAGATGAAGTTATTACACACAAAATAACGATTTTAGGCAAATTTTTAGATCTCAAATGGGAATTGCTGACTGTTTGCGGAAGAATTATGCAAGAGTTAAGGCATATTAAAGTAAACGCCATGCATTGCCGGAAGGGTGCAGTTGTACCTTCCTGTTGAGCAATAAGTTTATTATTAAAATGATGACGCGCTTTGAATCTGATAAGCCTATACGCTAAAATGAATTATGCATTCACTAAAAAGTATTAATAGTATACGATAAAGGAAGTATTCATATTATAAAAACCTTGATTGAAAATAATTCTCAGTTCCTTGATTTATTTTAATGCTCGAATAAAGTATTTCCAATACGTGAAGGACAGTTACAAGAGCAGATCCTTCTCTCGCCCAAGTGTTATATAGGAGCAGATCCTTCCTGTTATAGGAGTGGATCCTTCCTGTTATAGGAGGAGATCCTTCTCTCGCCCAACTGTTATATATAGGAGCCGATCCTTCCTGCTATAGGAGCAGATCCTTCCTGTTATAGGAGCAGATCCTTCTCTCGCCCAACTGTTATATATAGGATCAGATCCTTCCTGTTATAGGAGTAGACACTTTTATCGCCCAACTGTTAAATAGGAGCAGATCCATCCTGTTATTCGAGTGGATCCTTCCTGTTATAGGAGGAGATCCTTCTCTCGCCCAACTGTTATATAGGAGCAGATCCTTCCTGCTATAGGAGCAGATCCTTTTCTCGCCCAAGTGTCCGTAGAAGTGTTGCCATTGGTCCAGGATCGACCTGCTGGTTTACAGTGGCCGAGCCTGGAGGCAACTGAGGGAAGGTGAAGGGCAGCCGGCCTTATATAGGCGACCTCTTTCCAGGATGTAGGAAAGTAGTGTACACATCGTCCCAGGTTATAAAAAGTTACGTAAACATCGTGTCAGAGTAGTGGAAAGAGGCACTAATATTATTCCATGATTCATTATCTGCATAGTTAATTAGTATATAAAAGTGATATTAGCATCTGAATCGATAAGTTTTGCATCAATTCCGGTGAAATTTGACCAAATTATACACAAAAATTAAGTTTTTAGGCATACAATCAAACCTAGCAAGAATTTTTTTCGAAATACATTTGACGGTCGCAACAGTTCAGCACTAGAGAAAGGAGCAACATTTGTTCCACTATTTTTGACTCTTAAACGCTGCTAACTCTTTTCGTCAACTGATATTCGTCCCAAATGTGCAATTTATTTCTGCATCTGCGTCCCGGATGTCTGTACAAAGATTCAGTGCCCATTTTGCCATTAATCAGATAAATAAGAGACATTGTCAAGGTTTTTTTGACATGGCGTGCGTCATCCTGCCACAGGCCTACATAAGGGCGGTTCAGTGAAACATCCGCTCCCTGACCAGTGATACATCCGCTAAGAAAGTGCATCATTATTTGGAAAATTACACATCTACTTTCTGAGCGTACAAAGTTCAGTGTGTCCAGCACCAAGCAGCAATTCGCAGCGCTCGTTATGAGAATTTCCCTCTTCACGTCTAGCTTGAGGCACTTCTCTACTTTATGCATCTTATATTATTATAATATTAAATTTGTAGGACGCTATAGGCATTTTTGCATATTTTATGCTTAACACTATAAAAAGGCGCCATATGATGTCAGTAGGACGGTTCCACTGCAATTAAGTGGCGTTTGCCAATATTTGCGATGTTTTCTCTTTTAAAATGAATAAACTTAAACTTCAATTTAGTCTAGAATAAAATAATTAAAAGTATTTGGAAACTCAATGCTGACCTTTTGAGTGTTGCAAAAATCTCTTACCACTTTCACTGAATTGACATACTTGTAAATTTTTAGGCGGAATCGTTCCATACACTTATTTGCATCCCTCTATGAAAGTAGATTCGCACATCCTATAAGAAAGCAGAATGCACAGACTTACGAGGAAATATATCTCAATCTTGATAATTATGGTCAATCGTTTGAGCTTTTTTGCAAGCAAACAAAATTGACTGGGATTTGTTCGAATCAGAGCAAAACTGAAAAATATAGCTAAATCAGAAATACAGAACAGCACAAGAGCTATTAGACAATCCGAG